GACGAGGACGAGGACGACGACGAGGACGAGGATGAGGACGCCGACAAGGAGGAGGACGACGACAGCAACGATTGAATACTGCTGCATGCTATGTACAGTGTAACCGGGACAGATTTGTCTCAGGTCTGCGACAGTTGGAGGTGCTGCTGGTGGACAGCCTCAGGCAAGTACCTAGGATCCGCATGGACTCCAACATGTGTGATTTGTTTGCAGTTGAACACAATAGCAGCAGTTTTGGAGCTACCTTGGAGACCTGAACGATCAGATCAAGCAAAACCGGAGTCGTAAGAATCAGCATGGCTGCTTCAGGTCTGTGCAGCAAGACAACGAAGGGGCAAGGACACTCTCTTAAAGGCATTGACATTTTGAGAATCGTTCACCGGATGAGGCCCCTGTGTTGAGAGATGGTGAGCATGGCCATGACAGAGTGAAATGGAGGTGATTTCGGCACGACTACCCCCGCACGGATGCGACTGCGACAACCTTCGGTTCGGATATCCAAACCAGAAATCAACAGAGAACTGTTTGGCAGACCTAAAGCACTAAAAGTGCTCCGAGGGCAAAGGTCAGCCAGTACGTGCTACAAGCAAGAATTGGCTTGCACTTCAATGGTCTGATTTGAGAAAGACAGATAAAACTGTCTTTCTGAGTCATGACGCGGGCCAGATGAAAACGGGCGGGGAGGTAGCAGAAACCGAAGGCGGCCTCTGCAATGTTGACCATCCAGCCTGGGACCGGCTGCATTCAGGCTTAAATGAAGTAATACGCCACGTATGCGGGACAGGAGTGATCTGCAGAGACGGGCTGCTGCCATCAGGCGAATGTAAAGCATCATGGTTCATGTTGGGAGGCCGGATGCAGGAATGCACAGTGCGATGGTTACACGTGACGCATCGAGGGAAGCAACAACAAGGTGTCGCACTTACCATGGGCAAAACCGCAGTACAGATCCGCTATGTACTTGCCGAGACTTTTCGTCGTTCGACCCGGGCAGCAACGAGACATTTAGTGGAACGCTTGCTATGACAACCGACTTCGCAAGTCATTGCGTTAGTCCATCTGGGAGGATTTGAATGCATGTTTCCGGAGCTGGGTTGCCCTAGCATCTTTGACTTCTGCTTCAGTATCCAGAACTGAATCTGATGTTCCTAGCATGTCAGTCTCAAACTCAAGCTCGTGCGGTCGTGCAGGGATGACATCAGCCACGGCCCTGGCTTCGTTGGATTTGCCGAAAGATCGGTTCTCAAGAAGGGGAAGTGAGTTAAATGAGGTGAGCCTCCGCGCCACCAAAAAGATGAAGGGCGGCCGCTTGGTCAGCAAGCACAGGAATAGCAACGGTGTGAAGCAGTCAGTGCCACCCTGCAGCCTGCAGCTGCAGCAGCAGCAGCAGCAGCAAAATCATGTAACGGCACCAGTAACTAGTAACCAGGAGTGACAGCAGCCAGGCCTACACTCCAAAATGAGGGCTGAAGGGGGGGGGCAGTGACAAACGCTAAATGGCCGGAAGCCCAAGACCCTGGATGAACTTCTACAGGAAGATTGGAGAAGACACATGAACAGGCAGCGAAAAGTAGAAGCCATCGTTGTTAACCACATGTTTATTGACGACGACTGCTTTTTCTGCTGCTGCGGTGGCCCTTGCACGGGTTTTAGTACAAGTGAGGTTGCATGTGTGCTTGATCTAGTGTGCCTAGAATGATAGCAGCAAGTAAACATGGGACTGGTAGGAACGATAGATGGAGAAGAATATGATGTTCATGATGGTGGTGTTGACTTCCTGTGATGCTGATGGTGAGATCACGGTGGTTGTCGAAAAAACATGAAGAGGAAAATGAGCTGGCCCCTCCGGTTTTGTACTCTCATGGTCAGGCCTCTTCCTGTTTCCAAAAAGCCTTGGCTTTCTTCTCAAGGATTAAGGTGACGAATTAAGATAAAGATGCCCCTGCTCCGGAGAGGCTTCTTTAGTGGATTGCATATGCACAGGCCCTGGCAGGCAATAGGCGAGCTGCAGGCACCTCTTTGGCGTCCACATGAGCCGTTGAATCAGGCAGTCGAACCTTGCGACTTCTGCGTCTGCACAGCCGGCTTTGGCTCTCCCCGAGGCCAAAAAAGCTGCAAATTTGTGGTAGAATGTATCACGTGATTGGGACCTGAGTTGGAACTCCTCGATGAGCTCATGTTTGCTGCTCCCAGAGTCAGTTCTTGTCATGATGGTCGCTGAGAGAAAGCTAATTGACATGATGATACCTTTTGACGATGGTGGTGATAAGGAGGATGCAAATGACGCTGTTGAGGCTGATGAGCAGGCATCAGTCCTTGTCGTCGCAGCCGCAGCAGTTTGATTTTTCGGACGCTCGGGCATGTAACGCGATGTTGTGGTATTGGCCATGCTGGTGGCGGTCAGGGCTCAGCCTGCTTGGAAACCCAGACTCGTCCTCGTCTGGGTCCTCGAGCTGCCAGGCCGGCGCGGCCGTGCTGCTCGAAGCGGAGCATTTGCCGGGATTGGAACTGGATGAGGTCATTGGGCTTCACAATGGTCTGGTCAAGGTGAGGAAGGATTAGTGTGTGTGGCTGACTGTTGTCACAGGGGCTGGAGTGATTGTGAAGATTAGTCACATCTGCACTCCCAGCAAGCGCTGGCACGAGTCTGTCCAGGTCTCGCCGGATTCGGTGAGGACCGGGGACGAGGACTGCAATTACGCTGTGAGGGCTGTCTCAAGTCAGTCCCAACTTTGGTGCCGTACATGCCGTCTGGACTTGGCTAGTTACGGACTGTGCTGCATGGAGCAAAGACATAGGACATGCCATACCTCACGCAGGACACGCAAAGCTTCGCATCGGAATCTCGGCCATGTGTGGACGATACGTCACGCGAGGAGGCGGCTACGCGAATCCAGGCAAAGGGGATACTGTAGGGGTCAATACTGCGCGTCAGGAAGTCATCAGTCAGTCGTGACAAAAAACATCGTTCAGTGCACTCATCTAGAATCAACTGGGGTAGTTCGACTACCAAGACATTGATCAGTGCCAACACGATCAGTCTGATGTTAATATTGGCATTCGTTCCAACAACGGCCAGTTAGCGAAGCAAATCTAATGATGAGATTGGCAGCAGGAATAACAGTGCTAGCCGTAAGGATAGTCGTCGTAATCATTACGCCCTCAATCACATGCAGCAAGGCCAACATCAGAGCTTTGTCTTGCATGTGCATGAAAAGTTGTTCGTTTCCACAGCGGCAGTTCTTAAACGATTGTGCAGCTCAGCGCTGTGCGTATCCAAGAAAGTGTGGAGCAACATGCGATGCGATGTCTGCAGAGCTCTGCGATGCTGGTTGGTTTCGGGGTTTTGGCTTCAAGCTTAACCGTTTAGGCGTTGTCATGCGCAGGAGGAGGTTGTTCGCTTTAATAACCTTACTGGAAATGCATGGAGCAATGCAAAGGCAACGATGAGCAAAGGGCGAGGGCTCTAGAAGCAGATAGAGAAACAGCCTTGAGAGGGGCCTATAGGTCCCTCGGCCCAGCTCAGTTGAGAACTCCGAGGGAGTCCGAGAGGGAGCAGAGAGAGAGAGAGAGAGAGAGGGGGGGGAGTTTTTTTCTTGGGTGCAGCGGGGAGGCCCTCCATCGAGGCCGGGCCGCTCGAAGCCGCGCCGCCGCGCGAGGCGCGGTGATCCGCGCTTGGCTAGGGCTAGGCCTATAGGCTTCCGCGAGGCTTCGGCCAGTTTCGAGTTTAGAGTCGTCCCTGCGCAGCTGCGCTTGATCTCTTCGAGGGGCGAGCTTAGACACAAAACAGCCTAGATGGCAAAGGTCCCAAGCAAGCCGCGCCTGCAGCGAAGGCCAGGATGCCGTTCACAGTTCCCACGGGTACCGAATTTGCAGGTTTCCGGCATGATATTACCGCAAGCACCGTGTCTCCCACTTGCATCCGATCCACCCAGGTTTCGGACATTGGGATGACACCCTCATATTCATCCACCGTCCTGCAGAACGCGGAGGCAGCCAGGTTTCGGGTGTACGCGTTTGAGACGTGATGCGCAGACCTTACTGCCGCTGCCCGTCCTCATGCCCGTCCTCCTGCTGCTCCGCCTGTGCATACTTCCATTCTGGCTGCAGCGCAGCGACTACTACTCCTTCTGTGCCTCCCCAGCTGGTGCAATAGGAATCGCAACAAGAACACCGGAAACAGAAGCATACGTAGAGCGCAGCTCAAGGCCTTACGAACATCTGCTCAGCTGCTTTCAAGTCGCATCTCTCGTCTAGCTGCCCTCTCCTTGCAAGAAAAGCAACTTCCCGCAAACTGTAAACCAGCCAACGGTCTGCTTGCACCTGTTTCACTGCTCCGAATTCCCAGTTGTCTGGGAGCTGAACCCTATCTGGTGGCTCCGTGCTCAAGTCCAAAATCTACTGGCCCACTGCCCCCTCAGCCCTGAACTCCCTGAACAGTTGACGCAGAAACCTGAACCCGAGTCCCTGCCTTATTTCAAACAATCTGAACCTACAACGCGAAACTGCATACTTTCTGCCCAGCATGCAGTTGCTGGTGGAATCCGTGTGCATCAGTTTCGCTTCGATCGTCTGGTTGTGCTGAGCATCAGAACTCTGCCTTACTGCCAAGCATTCCGGAGCCCTGGCAACCGAATCAGCCGGCTCGCCCGCAGAAGGCTGAGGCTCTAAGCACAAACTGGGGAGAAGTACATCGCAGCGTGCCTGGACACATGTGTTCTTCAAGCCCTCAAGTCCCAAACCTGCATCCCAAACCCGAAGTCCCACAGCCTAGACTCAAACACCCAACCACCGGCCCAATCACCAGCGTGTCCGGCTCCCCAAAGTATTCTTAGAGGAGAGAAAGCGCTCTGCCGAGCAGCCGCCCGAAGACTCGCCGGAGCGGCGCAGGAGCGGTGGAAAACCCTCTGCCGGGTTTTTGAAAGGCTTCGGTGTATGGCGGGCGGAATGGGTGTTTTCTGCAAAGTCGGAGCATAACCTGCCACTCTCCCTTAACCCCGCCAAGCTCTCGAGTCTAAACCCTGCGGAGTCCGATCCCTTACAGGGAGCTGCGGCAACACCAGCGCCTCGCGAAGGACACCGTGAGATAGGGAGCATATGGGAGCATTAACAACAAGAAGGCATGATGCGAGTGACGGTTGGTAGCAGCCGAAAGTGGGAGGGAATACATCTCAGTCTTTACGCGTCTTTGTACTGTTTGAGGCTTCTGCCTGCTACCACCAACGCTGCTGCTGTTGCTGCTACTGCTGTGGCCTTTACGATTACGACAATCACCTAAATCATCACAACGATTATGCCTACACCAACCCAGGACGTCGATGCCGCTCGCAGACGTGCTGCTGAGGCAGGAAGAGAGCGCGAGATGGCCTCGTGAGGGTCCGGTTCGGGGAAAAAGGATCCCGATTGCATGTCCGGACTACGGCTGATACAATCGTCGGCTGCGGAACCGATAAGACTCCGCCCTTGTGTATTCCCAAAGTCGACCCAGTTAAGTAAACCTGTTGGGACCCAGGTCTCCAGCACTTACGCTGTAAACCTTCATGCCCTAAGCACGCATCTTTAAAATGCTCTCAAGAGCATTTCCTGAAGCTCTTGATCTACAGAAGGTTTTGATTCAATTCAGAGAGCACCACACAGCCACTCTACACTGGCGCACACACACACACACACACACACACACACGCACACCCACACACACACCCACACGCACACACGCACACACGCACACACGCACACACGCACATACGCACACACGCACACACGCACATACGCACACACGCACACACGCACGCGTGAACATGTCTATATAGCGATGTATACAAGCACATCGTGTCTCCTGAAGGCATGGCGTCGCCAACGGGCTGAGGAGGCGGAGAGGCGCAAGGCAGCGCCGTGGGGAATCGTGAAGCTTCGGCTTTCGTGGTTAAGGGGCTAGGGCGGCCGCGTTACGCCCGCATTAATGGCTAGAGCATGTTGAGTTTTATGATTTTTTGTCACCGTCTACCTTGTTTTTGCCCTGCTTCTCCGTGAGGGTAGACGATTCGAAGAGGAGTTCCCGGGCTTGAGGTGTTTGGCTTCCGGCTCGGTTTCAGGAGGGCTACGGCTGGCGCGGGTGTTCCAACTGCAAATGGTGAATTCGTACGTAAGTGTAGTGGCAAGTGGTGTAAGTGACCTTTTAGCTCATGAGGCCGGACCCGAAAGCTTCGAGAGAACTCACGTGCCCGAGGATTCCCTCTTCGAGCTTAAGCCCGAAAGCTGCCTGAGCCCCACGCTCCGGCCTCTTCAACCCGGTTCACCATCCAGACCTTGAGCCCTTGACCCTAAACTCTAAACCCACGTCCTATCCATCAATTAACCAGCCCTGACTCCTTCGATACCTGAGGCGGCGGTGGCCACGACGTTGGCCTCGGCTTTCCGTGGGCGCCAGGCCCGGCGCGGCTTCGCAGCCCTGCGCCGAAGGCGGGAGGAGGCCGGGTGGTGCACGAGGCGCATTGTTGTTGCTGATAAGGGCAGAAGGGTGCTGGGTTTTTTCGGTGTGGGGTCTAGGGTGTTCGAGCTTTCTGCGTTTGGGTTCTGCATGAGGCGGGGATGTTCAGGGTTTAGGGCTCCAAGGGCTTCCGGGTCGTCGGCATCCCTATGGGCTGCACGGGACGCGACACAGCTAAAGGGAAGGTTACAGGTTCCGGAGCGGGGTTGGATGTCACGAGTTCTGCTGAAACGCCACAGATAGAGGCTTGAGGCTTGTCAGAAGATGACCCAAGTGCCTAGAACCGAACTGGCTTGATTTTACTTTCCAGCCTAGTTTTTTGCTGAGTTGCGGGAACCCCCGAGATCCTGGCGCCAGGAGACGAAGGCATCGATCAAAGTGCAGGCGGCCTTCCGCGGCAAGGCTCGAGACAGGTTTGGCAGAGGGGCAAAGCAGAGCAGGCTGAGCCGAAAGGAAGAGTAGGAGAACGCCCCAGTATGATAGTTGCACTGACAGCTCGAATGTAGAACATGATGCGGAAGTTGATGGTGGTGACAAGTACACCGTCCCCCCCCCTCCCCCCTTCGGGTCCTCATGATGCGGGCGACGTAGTGATGACATGCTCTGCGGTGTACTCTTTGGGGGCCGCACAGACTGCTCGGGTTGCACAGTTGCGCAGTTTCTCTCAGGCACAGAGGTCTAAAGATTGTCGCAGTACTTGCTTCGGTCAGTCCTTCCTCACTTCAGCTGCAGGTCGCGAGAAGACAAGTGACAGAGCTTAAGAGCAAAAGAGAAGAAGCAGCCACAAAGATTCAAGCCATACGCCGAGGAAAATTGGAGAGACAGCGAGTAGAAGCCAAAAAAAAGGAACTCGTGCAGGCAGCTACGAAAGCACAGGCAGTCTTCCGTGGCAAGAGAACCAGAAAGCAACTGGCCGAGGAGAAGCAGAAACGAGAGGAGGCAGCTACAAAGATTCAGGCGATCAGGCGTGG